GAATTGCACGCAATTCCATCTCCCATTTTCCCCGTCGTAATGGAAAAAATGACGCGGCGGGAAGGTGTTGAGAGCCAGGATGCGTCGTCGCGCTCGCCTCCAAAGTAAATAATATTGGCAATTTGAAAGGTAAAAGAAAGAGGGCGATAGTGAATTGTTGAACTTTTCAACCTGGACATTCATTTCTCGTATACAGAGTATACCATTGCAACATTGCTACACCTTAGTCTACAGATCTTGAGGACACATTTCGATCTGTTTCATGCGTGTGTATTTCATCTTCCCTTTGATCCACATCATATCAGGTTCGTTTCTTCTATATCTACCTATTCTCTTCTCACTTACCAACTGTTCGTAACCAAACCCAAATTTCGTTATTCTAAGCTGAAAACTATAATTTGACTGACTTATCTTCTCTTATTTGGTAGTATTTCCTTTCTTAATTTCCTCTCTACGCCTCGTTTTAGCTTCCTTCGTCGACCTCTTATTCACCACTATTTCCATACCTACTTCAAAATACTACAAAATAATCTAGAAGGTACCTTACCGACTTGCCTTTCCCGTGTAGAATTATTTTTACCACATCAGCACTAGTACAGTTCTCAGAAATCTGTCCTTCTTTTTCTCGCAATGATTCAAAGTTCTCGCATACTTTGGACCTTATGTCTCCATTAATACGTTTTCCATCGTCATAATTCCAAGTCTTCATAATATAATTATGTAATGTGTTCCCCAGAGATACATTCTACGCTAGCTGTGAATCGTAAAGGCATCAAGAGACGAAAAAATAATGAGATTAGTAAATACTAGATTAATTTTAATATGAAGAACGCAACACAACTAACATTTCACCACACTGAGTGCGCTTATCTGATGTTTACCATTCAGCACATTAGCTTCAGAAGACTTTGTAGAGCGAGCAAAATTGAAAACATATTATTATTCTTGTTTGACATACAAATATCTTTCAAGGACGTAAACAATTACAATCTTTACACAGTTCAATAAAATAAAACTAATAACATTGAAATATAATCCTTAATATTACCCAGGATGTGTCCTACATAATAACTAATTTACAATATTAATTTATATTTACGTTTGAATTTCATACTGCTAATTACGATCTCTTGAATATCGAGCATTAATGCGAAAATATTATTGAATGATTTCCCTCATTTAAATTTATTAGTTGCTGGACAAGATGGAAGACAAAACTAAAAATCGTTTTGATAATTTTCAAATATACGTTTTTATTAAATCTACAGGTAGATTTTTTTAAAATTTGGTCATTACGAATAAACCATGAAGTTTTTAATATTTGACTTAAAAACTGATTTTGAATGTCTTATAATTTACGTCTATTTGTACTTGCAGTGCCACCCCGTACAGGAATGCAATGACTCTCCAATACAAGTGGAAACAAGCATTCCCGTAGTAACGCTAGGATCAAACGAGTGGCAGATATGTGGGAATTTTTTGCAGGATTTTTCAAGGAGTACAGGGGGGTGTACAGTAGTATTGTTTTGGCGTGGCCGCTGACGGTGGAGGGTTCAGATCTGCCGATGAGTCGACTCCTCAAAGTTATCGGTTTCGGGGAAACGCGTCCCAGCACGTTTTGACCGCCCTACTTGAGTTGTGTAAACATTGAACCAGACTTTTTCGAATCCGAGAGATGCAAGCTTGTCGTTTCGTTTCCTACTTGACTGTAGGATTTGTATGTGATTCGGAAAGTTCTGTTGAAGTGATTATTGTTCTGTTTCTGATTATTACAATGCGTCCGGGTCAAAACAAGTTGCATAAGGAAGTCCGTCACAGTCGAACGCGTGGAGTCGTTGCACAACTATCAAATTATGAAAAGAGAAGCAATAGACAGAGTTAAAAATGTCAAACAAATCTGGCTGCTGCTGCTGGTACTGTTGTTTCGAAAAGATCTACTCGTATTTGCAGGAGTTATAAGGAAATGAGTTCTATTGGGTTTGGACAATCGTGTTCATTTTCAACTTCGAATTAGGAGAGGAAGGACGGGGAATCGGCTCTGGACGGTTTCAACGGGAGAGTAATTTGCCGCACAATGATGTAATGCACCACATCAAGAAATAGTTTGTTTTTTTTTACCGGAAACGGTGCAAACGATAGTGATGCAAGTTATGACGACGAGGACTCGGGTAACAATGCCAGTGGAAGAAATGTGGATGATGAGAGCTGACCCTGGCCATCAGGTGAATACAGTGTTTCTCCACCACCGAACGAAGCCACTAAAGCAAATTCATTTCCAAGTAAGTTCGCTAGCACCTGCGGTGCGGTAGGCCAATGTTTTGGTATGGGCAGACGCGAGCGAGCGCCACCTACTGGCTCCCTCCCTACCACTTTCGGCTTGCCCCTCTACTCGCGAATCCCAGTGACCACCCTAGAAAAGTGTAGCTGTAGATGACCAAAGTACGAACATTCACACACAGGTAAGTTGTTTTCAAATACATTTTAGTTTGCACTGTTCGAAGAATTTATCCGAAACCGCGCTGTCATACCTACGTCGACTACACTAAAAGTAGTTCCGTTGAAAGTGATTGTAGATTTACTTTTAATGTGTTATAACATTTTTGTCCAAATGTAATTCTTTTTTATCTGTGACATTTTTCGTCGTTATATCAACATTTTCTCCCAAAATTTCGCCAGAAAACTCTGACGCACTACATTTTAACAGTATGCAAAAATCATCGAAATCGTTCGACACGAGTAAATGCGATAGATTGGAAATTCCAGCGCGTAAAGGCTGTTTATTTGCGTGACTCCCTTGGCCGAGTGATGCAAGGCCTGCCACCGATGGCCGTTAACCACAGCGTGCGAAACGGTCGGCGGGACAATGCGTCACAGGCACGGGATTTGCGTCCCGGCCAACATTCTGATAATTTAGTTCACTAGGGCAGGTGTCGCCGAGATTTCGGTGCATGTCCGCTTTGCGAATCGGATGGCGTAATGGATTTCGGCATTATGGAAAATGACTAATAAATGCTGTAAAAAAGGCTGTAATAAATGAAATAATTTTGGAAATTAAATGTTTTTAAAGAATTGGTTGAATTGGTCCACTGAACAAATCTCATTATTAAAATGCATTGTTATTCAGAAATATAGTCACACTTTGGATTTGTTCACGACCACGGAACATATTCTCCGAGCGTAATTTGCATTCTACTAGGTGACGGGAAAGGTGACAACTATATAAGAACTAATTTTCATTTTCAAGAAAATGTTTGACATTTCCTACTGTGACCATTTATAATCGTTTTAATTCTTATTAAGAATGTGTGTTGAAAATCTAGTGGGTTGGTGCACTAGATTAAGTGGGTTGAAGCACATCTTCTAAAATTTCAGTTAACGTAGGTCAATAAGTAATTATAAATAAGATAGTCTTCTAATTTCAGTATTTGTACAACATTATCTGTACGTATAAAACCAATTACTGCGGGAATTGCAGCACGGCAAATCCTCATAGCAACGCCTGATATCAATTTATTATAGTAGGGCGAACCTTGGTTTGATAGATCCTCGCCGATGAAGAGGGGATTGTGATGAACAAAGCAGGTAAGCAGGTTTTCTTACGTTGCTCTCGAATTCGCTATTCTCCATACCATCTTAATGCGTATTACTCATCAACAAGTCGTTAGTTTGATAACTGCGTGTTATAAAAGGGTGTTACAATACAAAAATTGAACTCCGTGTTATACACTTTGTAAAATTTCTAATGTTTAATAATTTTCGTTTAAATTTCACTATTCATCCTGCGAGTTGAGATAGACTGATGTTATGGTTAACAGGATGTCGTGTATTATAATTAGAACGTTTGTGATCTAATAACTAAACAGGCACATACGAAAAAAAGTCAGATCCAAAGACATGATACAATTTTTTCTATGTATATCGACGCGATAAATCCAAATCCAAAACCAGAATTGCGTCACTGCTCTCTCGTTTTTTTTAAAAAAAAATTGCGAAACACACATGCGAATACTAGATTGTTGTCTTGTAGCACTATAGTCTACAGAAGCCAAAAGTTGTCAGTCCGAAGACTTGACACGTATTTCTTTATGAATGTCGACGGCACTGTATCCGAATTCGAAGCCAGAATTGCACCACGATCTTCAGGTTGTTTTAATTGCAAAAATGCTGTGAAGCATTTACAATTTTACGGTGGTTTTTCGCGGTAAAAAAATCTGGAGGTTGGTGGCGCAATTCTGGCTTCGTATTCAGAGACATACATAAAGAAACATGTGTGAAGTCTTTGGTTCAGACAACTTTTTTGTTTTACTTCCTCGCCTTACCAATACTTCGTAAGAAGAGAAAGTTATATAATCGTGGGCCTAAAAACGGCGAATTTATTATTTTGTGAGCCTCTGCCATTTCTACTTCGTTGATCTCACCTTCGTAATGTTCGACTGTAGATGAATCTAAGCGGCATTGTTGCCGGGCAAAAGACAGAGCCGGATGGAGTGGGCGGGATCGGGAGGGGGAACGGAGGCAATGGGGGCGCTAGAAGCAGGCGGAGCGGAAGAGAGCAAGGGGCGGACCAAAGTGGAAAAATAAAACAATGTACTACTCGGCTTCGTATGTACTACTGGTACGTAATGTACTACTCGGCAATGTATGTACTCGGCTTCTGACAGCAGGTGTTTCCCCCTTCAGGGGTTTTTTCCTGAGCCTTACCTTATGCTCTCTTTTCCGCGGCTTTGATGCGATGGAGAGACCATTTGGGGTGAATACCAGAATTCGAACGATTAGAACGCGAAAGGATGTAGGTATTGCAATGGCTTTAAGGCCCTCGGCCTAGCCACATAGGATCAAGTAAGCTAATTTGTTTGTAATAATTACCTATTAAATAAATAAATAAATAAATAAATAAATAAATAAATAAATAAATAAATAAATAAATAAATAAATAAATAAAACAATGTCTGGAACGTATGACCAATGCTGCTGGCGACGGCACGGGGTGAGTGACTCACCTGTTGGAGGCGACGTTGACGGCTGACTTCTCAGGCGGCTTCCCGCTGTGAGGCCCGTTGCTCGCGGCCGCCGACTGCAACACAAGAGAGAGCCTTGGAGTCGGTTCGGTCGTGCGAGCCATTCATGCCACATCCATTTACGCCAAACGAAATTGGGATGCGTGATCCGTGAATAACTTAGACAAATGACTCGCGAACTGGTTCATGACTCTTTAAGGTGCTCGGAGACATCCCTCCGTCAGCGAGAACTCTTGAGGTTCCTTGGCTCCTCTCGGGCGCGTTGCCTCAACACTTAACACTATGCCGCATCATCGCCTCAACATTCATCACTATGTTAGATCATCGCATCAACATTCATCACTATGTCAAATCATCGCCTCAACATTCATCACTGCGTCGCATCATCGCCTCATCACCTCATCGCCCCCTCCTCCAAGAATGCAAGAGCTCTGTGTTGTAACACCTTCAAAAATCTATTCCTGACAAGAGCGTACATTTACCGATTTCATCTACAAGACAAGAGTTTAATTAAGAGATTTGGTTTCTCAAGCGCAGAACAAAATAATATTAAGGTGGTATTCCTATATTACCCCTTACTAGTATTGAAAAAAATAACTGAGTAATTATATGATTCATCCATCGTTTTCTATGATATATCATTTCATATGCCTTTTTTCTAGAAGAACAGACGTAGTCAAAGGATTCATTGCCATTTTACAGCTTTAAGCGATATTTAATTTATGATCCTTAAATGAATGTTAATTAAAAATTGATCATAATTAAAATGGCAATATATATTTATTTTATCACAAACAATTTCTGGGGAATCCCACAATAACACATTCCTGTTGCACCATTGCACAGATTAATTCATTGTAATAAAATTGTCCAGGTCTATCTATAATATTGTCTTATTTTGGATTTATGGCTTTACGAATAATAGAAGTTCTTCTTTAAATTTTAATTCTCATAGCCACATTATGTCTTCACGAGGAACAACATAGTGGATGTAAAGTGGTATTGCTAGATACAACGAATAAAAGTCGCGGTCAATACCATAAATTGAGAAAGCAAATAAACTTTGCTGCATGTTCCCCTGTAAGTGCGTATCGTTTATAATCATTAAAGCATCATTAAGGAAATTAAATGCAGTGAAGTAATTTGTTGCTTTAATGGGCATTGGGGATTCACGCTCACGTAACTTAACCTACATATTGTGGGGGATCAGTAATTACAATATCAATAACTACACAAGGTGTGGTCAATATACATAAATAACCGTACGATGGTGGTAAAGAGTATTTGGTTGTAATCCATTTATATCATTTTAAGTGAAAATGAATTTAGAAGTGTTTCTGTTGTTAGAATATTCATGCAATTGGAGTGAAGAGATTTCGGTGCGACTTAATGAATCGAAAATGCATTAAATATGACATTCCACAATACAAAAGATAAGAGCAAATAACAAAAGAAACTCATCAAAGGATCCAATGTTAGGGAAAACGTTTCATGAAAAACATTTATGAAAGTTGTAAAAGTGTATATTTGAGGAAAATGAACTGAAATAAAATCGCAAAGACGCATATATAAAATTAGCAGGTAATGTTTCCAGATATTGAAAGTGAGACGGAGTGATCAGAAATAGAGAGAGCTTACATTCCAAAAGGGGCGGTTCATTATTCAAAAACTAATGAAGATATCTTCATTGAATACAAGGAATTAAATGAAATAAACAAAATCTACTCTGAATTTCACATTGCTTGAAAACAATGAATGCAGTGAGGAAAACATCACTGACCGAAAGAGAATTTAAAGGACTGCCAAGAATTAGAATATTTTCTCTCAAGAAGGAAACACAAGGGAAATGAAAATTCATCATTGTTTAAACATTATAAAGAGGTGAGAGTAATTTCAGTTGTGAAATTATACATGAAAAAGTAACAATAATTGTTTCTGAAATTTTGTCATTCTTTTTGGATCTATAAAACAAGCGAGAGATCGTCGATCTTCATATTACGCTTCAACAATGGGCATTACGTTCATAGAAAAATAAATTAATCATTTTTTAATAAGATGGGAATCGTTCATAACAAAATGCATATATTAACTATTGTTGTTTTGCAGTATTCCCAAAATTTGGTGGCAATTCTATTTAACTAAGCTTTCCTTCCTGTATTAAACGTCATAAAAAAAGTACGGACAATTTACACAATTTACCATTTTGCCTTTCTTTTCATGTTGCATTTCACAATAAAGATTTTCTAACCATGTTTTGATGATTAGTACATCACAAAAAAAAATTTGAAGCACTTTAATGTGATCATACCACCAAAGTTCATTGTACAACACGTACAGACCTTGAAATTAATTGTTTGGTAAATAATTACAGAGACATGATCTGTTTGAGTGCTTTGTTTTGATTTCAACTTTTTATCACCATGAAACGAGTTACAAACCATTAAAAAATTTAGCAGTCCGATCCCAGAAACCCGAAATTCTTTTTTCGTAAGACGCTTGTTGGACACGTGGACCTTAAAAGCCAAGTTCATTGCACTAAAAATCGAGTACAATCAAATGTTTTCTCTGATCGCTTTCAAAACCACCCCCTCAATCACTGGCATGGCCCACTCATTCGCATCATAAACGCTTATTGGCCAGAAGCGCTATGTCACACGCTTCCCCCTGCATCGTGGGCGAGTGCGACATGGAGACATCTGTTGCGCGTGGTGCCGGCCAGAGGGTTCCACGCTCGGTCCGCTGATGGACGCGGGACGCAGGCTCCCCCCTCCCTCCTCCCCCACATCCT